CACCTCCGCACGCCCGCCGCCGCCGCCGCGTACGCAGACGAGTGCCGCAAGCACGCCGCCACCCTCCAGCGCGCCGCCCCGCCTGACTACGACGCCGCGGGCGAGTTTTTTGAGAAGGCCGTCGACGCCCGCGCACAGCTCGGCCTGTTTTGTACCCCGGAGAACGCAGACGCCCACGTCGAGTACGCGCAGAACTTGAGCAAGCGCGGCCTCACCCCGGAGGCTGAGTATCATCTGCGCACGGCCGCGGACGTTTATCGTATTCTCGATGCGAGGGCCGCCAGGAAGTATGGAGACGTCCTGCTTTATATGGCTGTCGTCATCGATAGGCAGGGTCGGTTGCCGGAGGCCGAGAACTTCTATAGGAGCGCGCTCGCGGTTTATCGCGCGAATAAGCTCAGCGATGATAATGTCAGGGTCGCTATTGACTCGCTGAGTCAGAATTTGACCGCGCAGGGGAGGGCGGAGGAGGTCGATGTCGTCGTGAGGAGGCATTTTTTGGGCTCGCTTGATTAGGTTTGTGCGCTTCTGTTTTTTCTTTTTTTTCGGTATATTCGTTTGAGAGGAATTCACCCTTTTTTATGTACTTCTAGACAGTTAGCTGGGGGTGTACAAGACTCGATCTATGTTGGGTTTCTATTTTTTAAAAAAGCTGGTCGTCTAAAGAGGGATTTTTGCGTCCCAGTTCAGTTGAGTTGTCTCCATAGACCTTGGTCTATGTCGGTCTATGTCTCCATAGACCTTCGTGCCGAAGACCAGGAGAGTAATTTTGAAAACGTAGCGGGTATTCGCAGCTTTTCTGTAGCGGCGGCAGCTCTTTAGGATCCACATTCCCTGCGATTCGTCTGAACCCGCCCAACGGTCTGCCTTGTTCCGTGCCCTTTTTATCCATGCTCTTTCGCTCACGACGACTACTTCGGGGGTTGCCATTCTTATCCCGCCGCTTTCCTTTTGGCTTTCCTCTCTTTGCTGGTGGCAAGCCGCCTGTGTATGCGTCGCCAGTGCTGGCCTTGTGTTTGCTCAGCGTACAGCCATCGATTGCATTTTCCGTCGTATCCGCGGCAGCCCTTTCATTACCCTCTTCCAATCCATGCCTGCGCCGTTTGTCTTTCTTTTCTTCCTTCATCCCTGGTCTTTCATTATCGTCTCTGTGTAGCTTTTCGAACGCTTCTTGTTCCGAACGACCCACAGTGAATTCATCGTTTCCTTCTAAAACAAAAGTTTTCTTCAATTTTTCTCGACCTCCGCTTTCTTTTTCACTAGTCCTCCGCAAAATCTCTCCAAGATGGTAACCAGGAGTAAACGCCTCGTCGTCGCGAGCCGTGTTGAACGAAATTTCGCTTTGTGTTGGGATTGCCGGTGTAGAGCGAACACGAACAATTCTTAAACCATGCGACGTTTTTCTACTTTGCGCTCGTAGTGACTCAGCTCCTCCAATATTAATCGAGAGGGACCGGTTCAA